ACATGCCAGGGGGAGGCACGGCCACCAGGCGCTTGCATGCGAGCCCCGTCCCCGGGCTTGACCCCAGGGTGGGGCCCCGGCTGTGCCATGCCAGGCGACGTCACGGTCCTTGATCGTAATCTATTCATAAATGGCTTTTGAACCGTTCTTAGTCTGACCCGTCACCCAGGACCTGTTCGCCTTGGGAGACCCTACCAGGGACATATAGCCCCCGACAACATAGCTCCTAGGATCACTCGGGTACTCAAACCCCTCCACCACAATAAGGTGGCAGTTCAAGGAGGGGCCTTTGAGTCATATGATGATTAAAGCGGTGATCACACAATAAAATGACATTCACTCATCCACACAAAAAAAGGTGGGACTGGAAGCCTGGTGACACTGTGTATCTGCCTGTGTGGTGAGTGGTGAACTGCTTTAGCTGGCAAGCTAATCAGTAAATTGCTAGCTGGCCCAGCCAGGCTAGCACTAGTCGCAGTCAATACTCTCTGCTTTTGTTTCTCCATAGTGTTCATCACCTCACTTTTCTCACAAAAAAATAAAAAATAAGCATGGAAATTAACAGCTATCAAGTGTTAAAGTGCCGAACAATGACACAAAACATGTTTTTTAACCGCTGGGCAAACAAAGCCAACTCAACATTCTGATACATTTAGAAAAAGGATATCATATTTAACACGAGACCCCGTCACAGTAGCCTACTTAAGCAGCACACTGAAGATCCAGCTGGTCAATGTGATAAAACAAGGCAACTAAACAAAGAACTCAATGAATATTATTTTACATGAATACTGCACTATAGTGAATGTAGCAAATGCAACATTATTCAGTAAATTGTTGTTTATTTTTATTAGGCAAACAAAGTTAATAAGAGTGTGGTTCACAGAAGAGGGAGAAGAAGAGGAAGAAGAAGCTTATGGGAAAGGTATCATGGCCCGGTTGGCTCAGTTTTATATCTGCAGAAACAGCTGTTTGGTGTCTCTGTCCATGGTCCGATCCTAAGCGACAGTGACTCACTGGTCACAGTCATACCCTTGAGAGTGCAAATACTGACATGCTTGTGTAACTAAAAGAGGAAAGGGAAACATTTGATATTTATTTAGAAACAAAAGGGTTTATTATATGAGGTCTATCCTACCCTTTGTCTTACGGAGAGATAATTCAGTTTATTAATTGTGGTTTTGTATACTAACAAGAGCTGAATCAAACATGATTTAAATCCTCAATACCAAACAATAAATAAAATTAAAACAATAAATATACTGTAAAGTCTCAGCATTTTCTGCAAAGTGACTGTCCAGCTACATTTGGAAAAGTTTCAGGTTTTTGTGTCCTTGTATTAACAGTTCAAACTCGTGAATCTATAACCGAAACAGTTTACATCAATAGTTGAAAAAGTCATATAATAATGATAGGGGGATAATTATGTTAACAGGGAAGAGGAAAGTGAATGTGCTTGTAACAGAGAAGGGCAGAAGGGAAGATGCTTGTGCAGTTTGTTGTAAGGGGACACTTACACTACTATTTATAAACAGTATTTATTCAACAATATTGGGGTTTAAACGATTCCTCTTTTTGGAAATATATAACTCACGAACTCTCACAACTCCAACACTACCCACGAATTGTTTGGAGAATCCCTGGGCTTTATAACTATCAATACATCGTGGCAAAAATTCGAACCACTTCCGGAACCGCTACACGCACAGAGGCTTTAAACGTCAACGATGACGTCACACGCCATAAACAAGACAAGTATTCACTAAATATTTCCAGGATTTCTCGACACACGCTTTGAAGCATCGGCACAGTACCTTCCATCACTACTTGGCAGATATAGGTATTTTGGATAGGATTTTGTAGTTTATGCAGTTCTAAGAACCTCTATTTTTTTTCCTTCGGCTCCATGGTTGTCCCACACTCCAGACCAGCAGGTGGCGGTAATGCACCTTAGGTTGGCTTGCAATCCGCCAATAAACATCATCATCATAGGAAGAAAACAATACTCCCTGCCCCCTACCGCCTGAATACAAGGTTGGGATCTTCGGTGTCAATAAGTAACGTCACTACTAAGCGAGCGAAAATGGCAGTGAGAGTTGCACTGAGGAACAAGTGTGGCTTTTCAGGTATGTCTGCACGCCTAAGTGTACATGACATTTTTGACTACCAGTCCGACGAACTCCCCTGGAATAACTATTGCCAGTTCACAAGCGTTAGCGGTGCTAGCGTAGTAGTTTCGGCAGCGCCGTGTTTGTACTCTGCAGGAACTGGGACAAAGGTAACAAATCGGACACTGCTGCGTACGTAGCTACCAAGGTTAAATATAAAACCACCAAGGTTAAACATAAAACCTCCAAGTTTTGTCAGCTTGTGCACCAACAGCTTCCAGTCATCGCACCACAGCATGGTTACAAAATGAGTTTTATCCAGACTATCCTCAATATGCGACCAGTTACATGAATATGTAACGATAGGCATCCATGTTGATTTTTTGGTGAGGACTGTTTCTGCTTTCAAAAGTTATTCACATGTCAGAATAGTCCTTTAAACCGTACTTTTTGGCTTTAGTTGTAGTCGCCCACAATTAGCTACCAGATTCATCTGTGGCCTTTGATTGTGATGCAGCCTTTAAGGGAAAGGTAAAAGTGAAAATCATAATTTGCTTTTGAAATATGAAGTAAATAAAAAATGTCATTGGCCTTGATGAGTAAGTGTTTTAGCCTGTTTGAAGAAATGTGTACAGTAGAAATGCAGTGATTCATAGATTTTCTTTGAGTGATCAAAAGAAAATTGGTCAACAGTTTTATTAACTGATTGATACTTGTAAGTTATTTTTAAGACAACAATTCCTTAGTCTAATCTTCTCACTTGTGAGGATCTGCAGCTTTTCTTTCGATGTCACTGTAAACTGAATATCTTTGGGTTTTGCACTGTTTGTCACAAAAAACAAGTAATGTGAATACATAACTTTTGGCTTTAGAAAACTTCAGCACTTTTTTCACATATAACTTGGCATAGTGTAGTTTTAACTTATTTTATGTGTGATTTGAAATTTTGATAGGATGTCACATCATATTTTGTTAATTTTGTATTGTTTGGTTTAGTCTTTTGGCCACCACTTTCCATACACCTTGTTGTCTGAACCCCCCAAGTTGCCCATGATGGCGGCGCATATGCACGCAGCAGCCTGCTGCCCCTTGGCTCCAATCAAAATTTCATTGTACGTGTCACAATGTTACAATGACAATAAAATAAAGCTGCTTCTTCTTCTTGTCTGTCTGTCTGTACTTCTCAGTGTGGTTTCCATAGATTTTTCAGTTTCTATTTTTTTTTATTTAGTTAGTTATTGTTATATATCACATTTAAAATGTGAAATTAGATAATTTTTTGAAGGAAAAAACATACTCTATTACTGAGTATTTTATGGTTCACGCTAGAATTAGGGTTAGGCTTAGCCATTTAGCTGTGATGGTTAAGATTACAGAAACTTGTGTGTCTGTACAGGTTTTCTCTTGCAGCTGTCCTACGGCAGCAGACAGGGCAGAGTATGTGCGTCTCCTGTCATAGCTGCTCAGCAGAGGAACAACTCCACCACAACTAACATCAAAGTGGATTTTGATCAAAGCACAGGTAAAGATTTTGTCATTGCCACCCCCCTCTGTTATCGAGCTATCTTATTTCACACTTTGAACTCATGAAAATGCTGGATTCCATTATCTAAATAAGGAAGTGGATTCTAGCAGTCACACAATTTCTTGTATTAAAAAAGTCTTGCCCTGTATGTGTCCAAGAGAGTTTTTCTCCTCATCACAGGTGGCTTTAGAACTGGAGCAAACTGGATGAGAAAAATTATGTTGAATTCTGTCAAGCTGTATAAATATTTCTTGTGTAGTTTGTGGGTATTTACCCTCCAGCATTATTTGTATTTAAACCCACAAATTGCTTCGAATTTTCAAAATGTACTTGGTGATAAATAACCTCAAGCTTTCTGGTAACTGCTAGAGAAGATGCCAAAGCTCCAAAGCTTGTTTCATTCCTGTGAAGTACACAGTGGGTAAATCCCAGTTCCCTTCATTTCATCCACGTTTCCCTCAGTTGGGTTTTTCCCTTAAGTCTAAGGAATTGTGGAAACGTGCTGAGAAACATGAGACGGTGGGTTCAGAGTTGCACACATCTGCTGTACCTCATCATTTTTACCGTTTCATGTCATTCCCCCTCATTCGAAGATGAGTGAATAGAGTTTATGTTGGAGCATTTTCATCTGTATCCACAGGCGTGGCGGTGATGTACATGCAGAGTCCTCCAGTCAACAGCCTTAGCTTAGACTTCCTCACCGAGTTCTGCATCAACCTGGAGAAGCTAGAGATGGATAAGAGCTGCAGAGGCCTCATCGTCACCTCAGTATAGTATAACCTCATCGTTTGACTAAATGACCTTTAATGTTTTTTAAGGTTATTTGATCAGTGTGGCTGACTTTTTCCACTGCTGGAGTGTGTGACAAATTTTTAGCATGTGTTACTTCAATCCAGAGCCAGCCCAAGGTGTTCTCTGCTGGGCTGGACATCATGGAGATGTATGGAAAGAGTCCAGAGCACTGTGGAGAGTTCTGGAGAGCTGTTCAGGAGATGTGGCTGAAAATGTATAGCTCCAACATGGCCACCATAGCTGCCATTAATGTAAGTATAAAATACTAGCCCCATCTCCACCACCATTTTGTCCCTGTATTGCAATACAGAAACACTACAGCAGTAAGCACAAAAATAAGAGAATTAAATGTCTTGTGGGTACCTCTAAGGGTGCTTTCACACCTTAATTCGTTTGCTTTAGTCCGAATCAGTTGAGTTTGTAAACATGTAGCAATGTCTCCTTGGTTTGGTTTGGTTTCACACACAGAAAAATCCAAGCGCCCCAAAACACGTCACGTAAAACTACGCGAGAACGTTCTCTCCGCTTATTGGTCAGATGTGTCTGCCGCGAGAACAGAAAAAGTAAATAAAGGAAGAAAGTCCACGTTTCTGTGACGAGAGAGGATGGAGGTCAACACACGCGGGTTGGGCCTCGCCCTGGTTATTTTGTATTATGTTACTTGCATTTACCACTTAAACCAAGTCGTACAGTTTGCCCATGATTCATCCTGGCGCATGTTTTGGGTGACAGGAAATAAAATCTACCCATAATCCAATGCCCTCAAATCATGTGGTTCACGGCCTTTGGTCCCGTTTTGGTTCTGTACGCGTTCTCCCCAGGAGGACCGCACCAGAGTTTCTAGTTCGATTCAATCGAACTAAACGCTGTAGGTGTGAAAGCACCCTTAGCCTACCTTTTCACTTCCTCCACAGGGTTCCAGCCCTGCAGGGGGCTGTCTGATGTCTATGACATGTGACTACAGAATAATGGCAGACAACCCTCGTTACAGTATTGGTCTTAATGAAACGCAGCTCGGCATTGTGGCACCGTTTTGGTAAGGAAGTACAAGTATGTCAACAGATTACTGTTACGGTGGTTATATTGATGTTGACGGTAGTGTGAATATGCACGGTACATCAAACAACACTGCTGCTGTCCTCAGGTTTAAGGACACCATTATAAACACAGTGGGCCACCGCACCGCAGAGATGGCCCTGGAGTTGGGGCTGCTCTTTAGCCCTTCAGAGGCCCTGAAGATAGGACTGGTGGACCAGGTGGTACCTGAAGACCAGGTTCTCACCACAGCCACTCAGGCCATGACTAAGTGGTTGGCTGTTCCAGGTACATTACACGTCATATAGCCCTCCACAAATAAGAGGTTTATGTCATTATACAGCACAGTCGCATTAAGAAACACCATAAAGATGATGTCCCAGTCCAATACCAAGGATCGATACTAGACTATCGGAGCTGATCTGGGCATTTTTGACAGAATTGGTATTTGCAAGAATAGAGCCAATCTATTTGTAGAACTACAGTCCGGTATTTCAGTGCACTCAGTCACATTTTTGAGATGCGTGTGTCACAACCAATAAGCTGCTATAGTAAATGAGTCCAGCTGTCTATGCTGCCTGTGCATGTTTTGGCATATCACTCCTGCTTTATGTATGTAGCCACAACCTGAAGCCTATTTTTAGCTTCAAGTCTATTTTTTCACTTCACAGAATCCACCAAAACAATGAAAGCTCATTAGTTCAACCGGAACTCCACCAAAATAGGAAAATACATCAGCCAAAAACAGGCAAAACATATGCTCTATTGTGAACATGCAATTTAGTCCTCCCCATATTCAAATAAAGGCAGTGCCAAAAAAGATTGGGTTTTTTTTTGCTCAGAAACCAAAAATTCATACCCCCTGGAGGATACTCAAGTACCAGGTGTTGTCTCTGGTAACTGGTACAGTTTTGACCAAATAAGTACGTAAGGATCTATTTACTGATTCTTATATAAAAATAAATTTTCATTTTAGTTTGACTGACCAACCAGTTTTATACCAAATGGAGTCATGTTATACTTTTGATTTTTTTAGCATGTTCACTATTTTTAGAAAATGGTATATGCAATTAAAGTAATTCAGGGTGTGTCAGTACACTGTAATATCACCTTTGGGTGTAGTCTGGTGCAACAGAGAGCTCGGTGTGGTGTGGTCAGACTTTAACCTTGTAATTACTCTGCTGAGTCTCATCAACAGGATCTATCCAGGATCTAAAGGCCTCTGGAGACCTACAGAGACTCCCACTTTTGGAACCAGTGAGCTAACTGTAATCTGTTTACTTTGCAGACCACGCCAGACAGATCACCAAGTCCTTGATGAGGAAGCCAACCCTTGACAAGCTAACATCTAGCAGAGAGGCTGACATCCAAAACTTTGTCAGCTTCATCACCAAAGACTCCATTCAGAAGTCTCTTCGGGTTTATCTAGAGATGCTGAAAAAGAGAAAAGGCTAGAGGAGAGACATGACACAGATATTAGAGGTACCTTGTGACCTCTAATTGAAAACACATCTGCCTTTCATGTTGTGCTCATTGGCATAAGTTTACTATGATCCTCCCAGAGTTGTCACCAGCTACTCTTCATAACAGCATTCAACCAGCCAAGAACCATTGTTACTGTAAAGCTGTGTGATCCTCTGACACCTGGAAGAGGTCTAGCAAGCTGTAATTACAAAATATTTCAAACTCATTATTTTCAGAGCAATAAAGAATTCTTTAAATTGGCCATAGACTAAGCGTTGCCCCCCATTGTTGCTACAGCTGTCACACTTCCTTTCTCACGCAGCACACATGGAGTCTATTTTAACAGCAGCAGATTTACTGCTCCAAATTTTCTGTAACTTTTGAAACAACGTGTCTCTGAAGGTACATTTGCAAGCAAAACTAGATGCTCATTTCTGGCCCAGTGCAATAGATTTTGTTGTCATATGTGACAACTTATGCTAGCATATTTTTTCAGCTGTAGCTAGCTAACTTTACATAATCCAAAACAATGTGAGTTGATTAAAAGCATTAGCCTGTTCTCTGAGGTACTGGCGTAACTGTTCCGGAGTGAATGTTCCAGGTTAGAGCATATACTGTTTTTTTCTAACATAACCTGTAATTAAATCAAAGAGCTAATGACTCACACCTTGCCTTTGGAAATAATGGTGGGTTACAACTGTTGTTAGTAGCAAAATAGCCGCACAAGCTAACATTTAAAGCCTAAGATAACAAACTGTTACATTTATACTTGCTTTTTGGTTTTGGCAAGTTTCGTTCAAATAGCCCACAGTAGGTGGAGCCTTTGTCATGTGTTTACCAAATTAGTTTATGTTCAGTTTTTCTGATGTGTCAGTGGATTAAATGGCATATTCACATTATCATTTATTGGCACTCTCATTTTTGGCAGTAATTTCAGAGGTCTTCAAACATTGTAAAGAACCAAGATTAACTAATTCATGACTTGATTATGGTTTGTGAGAGTTCCCCAATACTGAATAATCATGGTCATCGGCCTGGGGACCTGTAGAAGGACTGGAGTCATGATTCAGGCAGCAAGAGCCTCGCCAGTCAGCCTCACCTCCACAGGAAAATGGTCACTGACAGCTAATGCCTGAGAGAGAGAGGGAGAAAGAAATCTTTGATTCCCTGAAGTACAACTTATTAGTCCAGTTTGGCATAGATTGCTTAATTTTCCATAGTTAAATAGATGTTTAAGCTGTTGGGTCTTTTAATTGTGATGATTTTGCTCACATTTCACAAAAACCCACCAATTCACTATCTCAATAAATTAGAATATGGTGACATGCCACTCAGCTAGTCAACTCAAAACACCAGCAAAGGTGTCCTGAGCCTTCAAAATGGTCACTCAGTTTGGTCCACTAGGCTACACAATCATGGGGAAGACAATCATTGACACTCTTCACAAGGAGGGTAAGCCACAAACATTCATTGCCAAAGAAACTGGCTGTTCACAGAGTGCTGTATCCAAGCATGTTCACAGAAAGTTGAGTGGTAGGAAAAAGATGCACAACCAACCGAGAGAACTGCAGCCTTGAGAGGCTTGTCAAGCAAAATCGATTCAAGAATTTGGGTGAACTTCACAAGGAATGGACTGAGAAAGAATGTGGATGAACTTCACAAGGACTGAGGCTGGGGTCAAGGCATCAAGGGCGGAAACCAAGGTCCTAGAGTCTGGAGGAGGGTGGAGAAGCTCATAGCCCAAGTTGTTTGAAGTCCAGTGTTAAGTTTCCACAGTCTGTGATGGTTTGGGGTGCAATGTCATCTGCTGGTGTTGGTCCACTGTGTTTTTTGAAAACCAAAATCACTGCACCCGTTTTACCAAGACATTTTAGAGCACTTCATGCTTCCTTCTGCTGACCAGCTTTTTGGAGATGCTGATTTCATTTTCCAGCAGGATTTGGCACCTGTAACATACATTTAACCAACCAAAAGTTGGTTAAATGGCCATGGTGTTGGTGTGCTTGACTGGCCAGCAAACTCACCAGACCTGAACCCCATAGAGAATCTATGGGGTATTGTCAAGAAGAAAATGAGAGACCAACAAATGCAGATGAGCTGAAGGCCACTGTCAAAGAAACCTGGGCTTCCATACCACCTCAGCAGTGCCACAGACTGATCACCTCCATGCCACGTCGAATGGAGGCAGTAATTAAAGCAAAAGGAGCCCCTACTAAGTATTGAGTACATATACAGTAAATGAACATACTTTCCAGAAGGCCAGCAATTCACTAAAAATGTTTTTTATAGGTCTTATGGGATATTCTAATTTATTGAGTTGCACCTGTAGAGTACATGAGTGCTACAAGGTGGCAACAGTACCCACTGAAGGTCAAGCAAAAACCAGGAACAGTAAGTATTCAGCTGGTGTTAGGTTACTCTCTACAGACTGAGCAGTTGTTTTTACCAGACTGAGGCTGAGGTTCAGGTCCATCATGTAGTTGTAAACCTCAGCACTGCCAAGCACTACTCCCCTTATCATATCATCTGTGACCACAATCCTGCAAATACAGAATAAGAGGTGGAATTAAGAGCGGGTGTCTCTGTATGCATGCGAGTCTGTGTGTGTGTGTGTGTGTGTGTGTGTGTGTACCTGTCATAAGGGCAGTTGGTGTGTGACACTGTGCTGTCGGCTTCATCTGTGATCAGCCAGTGGAAACTCTTGTCAGTGAAGAGGCGGATCTTCACCCAGTCAGAGTTCGATATATAACTGCAGCCAGCATTAAAGTCACCCAGTAGCACAATATCCTGCAGGGAGAGTTCCAGTAACTTCATTAAGCCATATTGAACCAAATCTGTCAGTTGCACTCCATCTTTTTTTGCACATTTCCACAAAATAATTGATTTTGCGAGGGGGGGTTAGAATTGAGGAGTATTCACATTGGTGTTCCAGCGAGTGCGGACATCAGCCACCACATCATAGAGGGCATTCACTTCCTCCACTGCCTTGTCTGGAGAGGTGTGCTGGGGCATCAGAACAAAGTTCTCTATGGCTAAAACACAGAAACGAGGAAGAAGGAGAAACACAAGAGTATAGGATATGGCAGCTGTGAATCAGTGAAATAACAGAGTTTACTAGCTCTTTAAATTGTCTGACATAATTCCTAATGATGTCTTTTTATAGTAGTAGTGTAACAAGAATTTAACTGAAGCAGGTTGATCTTTAAAGCATAAGACCTTATGACCTCAGAGTCACATCCTACACAAGTCTGATGCCTTGTTCTCAGTTAATCACCCACTAAAAGAGAAAATCTTTATATATGGTGTCAAGCGGTGGCACTCTCACGCTCTGTGCATGCACATTCCTCTGGATCCTACCAGTATGTTTGGAGGAGAACATGACGACAAAGGGCTCTCTGCTGAAGGTGTCCGCACCACAGGGCTCATTGTAGATATAGTTTTTAGCCACGGACACCGTCTGCTCCCTGGAAAAAACAGACACACTCTTATTCGCATCTGTTCTAGTGTGGTTAAAAACCTATTTATGCTACTGTATGTCCCATATTTGATTTATTGAGTCACATGCCTTCTTCTCATGACCACAATGGACTTACTGTAACAAGCATTTTATGCCAAATAAGTACATTAAAAATTGTTGTATGGGCTTTGATATTATGACACATTTGAGAGCATTTCAAACCCAAAAATACACTTTGCTGACACTTTAAGTTGAGGTAAGTAAGTGGTAAGAAACTGCATTCAGTGGCATGAAGTACTGCCCAAGTGTAACAAAAGTGCATTTTCTGGTACAGCAAGTGACACAAGTTAACCATATTTATCTCAGAATCCTGGCTACTGTTATGTTGACCCCCCCCTAGTTTGCCAAGTACATGTACTTAGCAAACTAGGAGGGGTTATTACCTCAAAGAGTTTTTTTGTATTACTTTAAAAATGATGTGACTTTAGTGTGCAACCAGGGGTGAGCTGTGTTAAAACTGACCCGTTGACCTGCTGTATTTATCTGGGAGACCTTGCTACAGTCAATATGTACGGGAGTGAACATAGCAGACATAGCGGAATGGGACTCTAAATCTCTCTGCTCTCAGTGAAGGATTTCATCAAAGGACCAAACATTTTACTATTGTAATGAGTTTGTTTTTGCCTTCTTGTGTACCTGTAGAGGAAGAGATATCTCTCCTTATAGGAGTTCAGACCCAGAGGCTCACTGACAATGTGGTTGTACCTGAACCGAGGGGAACCTCTGGGGAAACACACACACACACACACACACAAAATAGATGAACATAATTTTTCTTATCATATACCAAAATGTGATTTTGTGAACTTTCAACAAACTATTACAAAATGGTCACCACATTTGGCCTTACACACATATATAATAATGAATTTTAAAATGTTTTTTATAAGGTGTGTCTAACTTGTTGACATTCTCCATGAGTTTTCGGGTTGCTGACAGATCGGAGTCTCTGACCTCCTGGATTAGAATGATATCATAGCGGTGGACAATCTGCAACAGACCCACAAAACAACATGTGACAAATGTTCTTCTAGCATAGTGTTTTCTGTGTTCTATTATGAGCCAACATACCCTCTATTGTCCCAGTATCAGTAATTGTTCTAGGTAGTAAAGGGTGACTCTGTCAGTTTTACAGGTCAGCTAAAACAGTTCAGTTCTTCTGTGACTTGGGGTAACTTTCAAGAGTCGGACAAAGTAATGTAGTAAAAAGATGCTATTAAGTATTATGGGAAATGTAGGATCCACAGTTTGAAGCTTGACCCATCCTAGGAACAAACATTCAGAATTTCCTAGCGACCACTGCAGTATTTGTTTATTTGTTTTTTTTAAACCTATCTCTTACAGTGTTGTAATACGCAAGCCAGGACTCTGACTCGAGTCTGACTTGAGTCCTGATTTTCAGAACTTGTAACTCGACTTGGACTTGAGCAGTGATTACTCAAAATTGGACTCAAACTCGAGCATTGACCGCATTCAGATTTGGAAGTTGGAGACAAGGACTTGGACTTTTACTTTATTTATTTGTAATAGACCATGATAATTTGACATAAGATCTTGATACTTAAACCTGTTCACCACACTGTACTGTATCTGGCACATTCCCATCAAAGTGTGCACTCCACCTAGCAAAATAAATTCATACTGTTCACTTCTAAGTAGTGTGTGTTACTTTACAAGTGCATTTGTTTGCTATTGTGCCACACACACTAAGAAAACACCTTTTAAAATGGTATGTGTTGCGTCAATCTTTCTTCTTCTTTGGTGTCTTGGACTTGCTTTAAACTTGAACCCTGGGCACTCGAGACTCTGCTTGTACTCGAAGTTTAGTGACTCAGCTACAATAGTGATCTCTTTATGAATGTGAATTACTAAACTGGCTGGAGTCCCCCTTTTACCTCTATATTCCTCTGAACATTACAATATCCTTAATGTCATGATTATAATATGCTACCAACATATTCTAATGGTGTTTCAGACCGTGGTGATGATGTCCATCAAAGTGGCGTTGGAGGCTTTCGTCTCTCCAAATGACTTGATGTTGAAGGCTCCCAGCAGCAGAGAGGTAGACAGCTGAAGCAGGGCCAGAAAGAGGCCCAAAGCACACAACACCACTTGCATCCTGAGCCAAAAAGGTCAAACATGGACATTTGCACAATTTGTTTTATGGAACTCTTCTATTCAGATTTGTCCAGATGACCAGGAGCTATACTTCATGTTTCACTGTCAGGACTTCATCAGTGTTTTAGGAGTTGAACTGCAAATGTGCATGACTGAACCAATAAAAACAAAATGATTTTAAACATATAAAATAAATGTTAACATAAATGTAATAATATGAAAATAATTAATGATAACTGGAAACACAATAGAATTATCTTTATGCAAAGCTCCGAGCTGGATCAAGTTAAGCAGATCAGCCTGTTAGGAGTTACATTACCCTATCTTTCCTCAGTCAGCTGCTTAATAAAACAGATCTCAATATATCCCACTTAACCTATAGAAGGTGCTAGGCTTATTCTTCACTGCACTGATATGCACAGCATGCTCCTTTGTTAAAGACAGATTACATTCCTGTTAGCTTGTTTATATGAGGAAAGTTACAATTTAAGTGTAATCTGTTTCAAGTTTATTAAGGTACTCCGGCCAAGCACATACAGTACATACAGAATCACACTTATGTGGACAGCTAGGTATCCATATCCTAACAGTTTAAAACATTCAGTTGCATGCTGAGCTTCTGCAGAGTGGAACAAGTTATCATTATCGGAGAATCAACAATGCAGATGTGCCTAAAGCAAGCACTATGATGGGATATACACATCTTCCTATCTGATGTCAATTTTGCTTTCATGACTTTCATGAATGGTTATGTAGCTAAATGTAGTTTTGGTAAGACTGCTGTAATTATGAGTTGTGATTTTTTTTTTTAGTGTTGTTTGGCACATTTTTTGCATTTTGCTCCTTTTTAGCTCTTCTCCAAGTGGTATTTTGAAGTATTTCTTGATATTGCTGATGATGATCCCAAATGTAATTGATTTCAGATAATGCAAGTCGTTAATAGTGCAGTTGTCACACAGCCCTGAAACCATGTCCTTAGCTTAGCTTAGCTTTACTGTGGTAGTAAGGGACAGCCCTAACACCTGACTGCACCCCTTGACACAATGACAACATGGTCCCTATTCGTGTCAGTTTATTTACTGTAAGTCTGCAAATTAGTGCTTGATATCTTGCTTTTTGCAGAGGTATGATTAGTGTTGGAGCAATATATTCACCATTACTGCATGAAAAATAAAGCAGGCCCACTGTATATAGCATTACAAAGACTGCAAGAATTCCAATTCTCAACAAAAAGCAGGTTTATAATGTTGTCATACTGAATTCATCCATACTATAGTATAACTGTAACAAAGGTTGTCATCATTCACGGTTCTTTTCAGCTTGAACCTGTTGTTCAGCATTAAAAAAAAGTCAGAGGTGCATAGTTACCTGTTTCTGTGAGTCTGTGTGCAGACCTGCTGCAAGTGGAGCACAAAGGTTTACTTGTGTAAATCAGTGACAAAGCAGTCTGAAACAGTTTATTTACCTGCAAGGTCATGTGCGGGCTGGGGAGGAGTGAAGAGAGAAGGGTATGTTATGGTTGGGTTTCAGTGTTTTCAGATATTGGCAGCCACGTAACTGTTATGTTAAACTGGCTCGGACGATTGGTTGATTTGTAGGATTTATGTGGCTGTCTCAGTGGAGACTTCTCTTCTGTCTCTGAGTTTGAGGGTGTCACTTTGTCACTGATTTGATTTCATTTCTACAATTATTCAACTCCTCAGTCATCAGGCATCCATGTAAATGAACAATAATGTGGTTTCTCAGGTGCCACATGAAATAACATTAAAAGCATGTTTAAAAAACAGAGCAATGTTAATTTTAAGAGCATGGATAAAGAACGCCAAAATATTGATAGCTTCTCTTAACCAATACTAGGAAATGTGATCACATTCTGGGATCTCTACATTGGCTTCCCATGCATTTTAGAATTATTTTAAAGATTTTAACATTTGTTTACAAGGTGCCCCACTACTTGGCTTTGTTGTATATTTCTGAGCTCTTACATTTGTACACCCCAGGTATACCTCTGACCTCTGTCTTCTGGATGTTCCTAGGTCTAGGCTTAAATCTGGTGGTGATTGAGCTTTTACAATTGTGGCTCCTAAATTATGGAATAGCCTTCTTTTAGATATTTGGTTGGCACCTGATTTGGTGATGTTTCAGTCTCTCCTAAAAATTCACTCACACGGGCAGGTGTTCATTCAAGCCCAGAAACAGCTACAAGTCCAAGTTTATAATACAAATACCCATATTTATCTAATTATGACATCACAGCCTCAAGGCAGGATAGTGGTTAATAGTTTACTTTGTGGTATACCTGAAAGTGAAGAGTCTATGTATGACACTGGCTTTGAATATTAAAAAAACAGCTCAGTTAAATCCTGTTAATACTAAATAGTAAAGCTTGGATGAAGTAAGTCAACTAGTATCTCTTGAACTTGAGTGATGTTCAGTACAGGCTATTTTTAACTGCTGTGTTTGCAGTAGCAGTGAGAAGGCAACAGATGTCATAAATACAAGGTAAAGAGAGTTAAGTCAAGGTCATGTGTAATAGAAACTTGTTGCTCTTTGAGCTGCTTTTACATGGTTTTCATGCCAAAATTACATATGCTTCATTGAAGACAAAAAATCAAAACACTGCAATGAAGTTTGAAGACACTCAGTTATTTGGAGATTATATTTAAATATGAAAAAAGAAAAAAATTGTAAAACTATAATTAAGTACTGATATCTGAAACTAGTCTAATGCTAATAGAAAAGATCCTTTACTGGTATTGAATGTTTTTAATATTATTACATTGGCTGGGTTGAAGAAGGAGCTGGACACCAAAACTTCTCCTGTGCTCTCACAAGCCATTCTTTTATTAAACAGGGCCAGGGACCACACAGCAGCACAGACACCAAGCACACTAAATCTGCCAGATGTCTCTCCGCCCCCTATGGTACGATATGTTAAGCTCACTGTTTTTCCAATTCATTCAAAGCCAGAGATGAAAACATATATTGATATTTTTCTCAGTTAATTTTTCTATTTGGAAATGAAAAATTGGTCTCAAACAAAAAGTGAAAAAGTAAGTCAGTTTTGTTTTCATTTTTAACACCTTTGTTTTATAATTTTATAAGGACAGATGGTTGCTTTGCACCATCCACACATAACTAAACAATAATGATAAATGTTAAATCACATTACCCAGTAATTCAGAAGAAAAAAGAAAGGAAAACCAGTAAAAGTCTGCACAGTGTTGTGCGATTTTCTGATTTCCTACATGTTAATCAGTGAAGTGTATCTTGGGACTGCTTGGAGGTTTGTTTGAGGTGTTATTATTCAAAAAAATGCTCAAACTTTTCAGAAATCTCAGTTGCAACTCTTCGTTCTTAGTGGATGGAGCGACAGCTGAGCAACAACAAACATCAGGACTGAACTATAAAGAGCCCCCTCACTCAGTGTTTTGCTTATGGTTACCTCTCTTGCAATCTAAAAATAAAAACCAATGCTCTTTGTATAAAAAATGTTTATGCATAAAAAAACAAGTAGTCAGGTCTTCAAAACTGCATTTAAGGTAAAAACTGAAATTGTGTCAACTGTCTTTCTTCAACAATAGTGGGTGACTCCTGATAATGTCTGTGTTAATCTGTGATTCATTACAAAGAAAACAAGTATTGTCAACTTGTGTGCTTTAGTTGGGCAATGTAGGGATAGGTTTTTGTACTATAAAATCTTCCAATAACTTTCTTTAAATTAACATTTATTTTATAATATAATAGGCCTATTATTAACCTTTTTTCCCTGAGCTTGTTTTGACTGCTGGTAAAAGCTCATGCAGGGAATACAACATGACACAATAAATGATTTTTAAACACACTGGAGTCCAAGCTCATTTGTAAACTGTGAGTTTTAAGTGGGTACAGTACTGTACATAAATTTCAGTTACTTATAGTATAGTATACTATACCTATAGTAAATGAACACAAGTAGAGCTTTAGGGTGATCATGTAAAACAGCGGGCTATATTAATCTAACTTGAAGTAAGTTAACAGATATAAAAGTGAGTTATTATTCTAAAGTAATAAATAAAAATTGCTTAAATACAAATTTATTGAAGGTTATTACCTTAAAATTTTGTTTTTCACCTTTTTCTTTTTTACAGTGTGGTTGTTTGATATTAGAAAGCATTTTTTAAATTTCACTCATGAAGGGTGAAAGTGTTTCTTCACCTTAAGTCTCGGTTTAGGATATGTGCATAGAAAAACATCCAATAGTGTGGAAATACACAGTTAGACCTATGCTGCGAAAGGACATTTCAGTGAACATCTTGAGTGAATATAATATTTGTGTATTCATAGATTCTGAATGTTTCACTGATGGAGAAGGAGTAGTTGTAATTTAAAAATAATAATTTTAATTAACAAAGTAAGTGAGCTTTTAATAAATATCAGTAATATTATGTCCTACACATGTCTGGAGTACAACCTTATCTTTATCTTCATGCAGCTTTTTTGTTTTCTTTCCTGCTTTTTGGCAAATCTAGGAGGGGAACATACAGGAGATGTGATTGCTCACACATTATTTAAATATTGTAATAATGTGTAACAATGTAGTGTAATGGCCAGAACCAGTTTTTGGTGGCACTGTAATGAAATTATGTACAGTAGTTTGATAACAAATTAAGGAAAGTGAGTAAATTGTTTAGTCTGTAGGCTACACTTCAACCCAGTAGGTGGCGGTAAATACTAGTATGTTTGATATCAACCGACTAATCAGTAGAAGAAAACGCTTCCGGATGACGCTGTTCAGGAAGAAAAACATCCAGCTGTTATCAAAGCAGCGAGATCTCTGGCTAGCTTAGTAGTTTGTTCATCATTGACTCAGGAATGAGACGGCGTTGAGAGTCAGCAATAAACTGGTGTTTTATCATGTTGTGTCCGGAGTAGTGACTGTTAACACTATTCCCCAGGGAATATATTTCTCGACTTTCTTCCGGCCCGGGTGTTGAAACAAGGTACGTTAGTTTAGCATCAGAACGTTAGCTAGCGTTAGCTTGCATGCTAATTAGCAGAAAGCTGTATTTTTAAAAGCTTGCTTTACTGGGATAGTGCGTTTTCTTCACTTGTCTTGTGACTTTTAAATTTGTATTATTTTATAATTAAGATATTACTCTGAACCGTTATGAAACCTGCTGTCGATGATATAAGTAACAGGGTTCAACAACTACTGTAAAGACAAGAAGACTTATGTCACCGTCTACATTAACGTTATAAGAGTCACAATGGAATAACTCGTGTTTTCTTTGTATAAATATGTGATGTTGCCAGCAGACGTAATAAAGCTTGTTGTGAATTGTCAGCTTAATTTAGACCAGTTGTATTCAAGATTGTGAGTCTGGATTCTGTCCACCATTATACAGAGCTGCAATCTTTATTTTGATCATTGGTTAATTACATGGGTAATTCCAGGTTCTCAAATGTGATTATTTGCTGCTTTCTTACTTTTTAATAAATTTTTGGTGATGGTTTAATCAAACAATAATTAAATGTTAGAAGGGGGAAGATTTACTGTTAATGGAAATTATCATAAAAATCAGGCTGATCTACTGTATTAGCTCAAAATAGAGTTATCAGTACAGATTAATTCCTAGTGCTCCTTGAACTCAATGTGGTATCATGATATTAGTTGTTTTGATGGCTAACAATCCCAAGCTGAAAGATATTTAGTGTACAATCAAGAAGGCCAAGATGATCAGGAAATGTTATATCTGACAGGCTACAACCAGTGAGTCTTTACTTAAGAACTGATTTAAACAAATAAAGCTAAAATGATATGTCAGTTTAGGGACTACAGATGAAAACTGGCCTTTCTGGATGTCACACACACACACACACACACACACACACAAACCATTAGTCAAGCTAGAGTAAATTAATCTGCAGATCTTTGGATAATTTATTATTTAAACAAAAATGCCCCAAATTACAGGTTTTCATAGGCTATGTGTAGGGGTGTGACAATATACTTGGCTTACGAGATGAGACGCTACACGATATTGGGTTCACAAGAACGAGACGAGGTGATATTTTAACACTATTTTTAAGAAATGTTCAATAACAAAATATATGTTTGGAAAAATAGTCTTTTATTTGACTGAAAGTCACAAAAGGCAAAAACACTGCAGGTGCATTTTTAAATCTTTTAACTAATCATATTGTAATGCAGTTCTACCTTCCAAGTCTGAATGATCATATGTAGTAAAAGACAACAATATGCAAGCACTGTAAAAGGTTTTGCCACAAACTTAGCTGACTGTGATTGTATCGTCAGATTTGGCCTAAACCAGAAATATTGTCACATTTTAACATCTCGAGACTTTGTGGCACAAGGTCTTTTCACACCCTTACCTGTGTGCATATTTGCTAATGTATTTAGTCCTGTGCAATAGTAAATACTGGTCTGTTGGTTTGACTGTTGGTATAACAAAACAGACAACATAAATATGTTAACTTGGTCTCTGGGAAATTGTGTTGAGCTTTTTTCTCCCAATATTTTCTTTTTATGAACCAAATTAATGGAAAAAATACTTGACCACGTTCACTGACAATAGATAAATAAGATTTTCTGTTTATTGACTATTAGTCAGTTAATCATTTAAGAATTCTGTTTGCAGGTTTTGTTTATTTATTCATTATTCAGCCTTTTAATAACTCACAAGCTGTATTTCATTCTTAGTGGCTTTATAAGGCTAGCAAATGTTTTCCTTCTCAGTTTGGTCCAATTTAAGGCAAAACCCTTAAATGTTTTCATTAAAAAAAAAAAATCAAATAATGTATTTAGCAAACGGTAACAGCAAATGTCTGTAAATTAGATATACACACAGTGACTTGTAGCTTTCTCTGTCCCTCACTAAAATCAATGCAAGAGGCTGTGTAATGCCATCTTTTTGAACCCCATTTATTATCTATTGATTGCATTAAAATGTTTTTTTTTTCTCGTGATGGTTTTATAAAAGTACAAGATTTATCTGCAGTTTTATTCTTTTGGGTGTGAATGACTGCTCTTCACTGAAGTTACGGTTTATTCTTTGTCTATCACTGAAATCTAACTTTCTTTCAGCTTAACCTCTTAATTGTTTATCTAGCTTGGAGTTAATGACAATACGACTCACTGAAACCTTTCTGTTCTTTCTATTGGGGGTTTGCAGGTGTGAATGAGTGACGTGGTGCCTCCCACAGCTCTCAGTGAAGTCCAACTCCGCTTCCTCTGCCACAATGACATAGAGAATGTCAAGCTGCTCTGTGGTGATTGGTTCCCAATCGAGTAAGAATCATATTCAGTGTGGGTCATAACCGAGGGTAGGGAAAAACGACTTATATGGGTTGTTTAAGTTTGAGGACTTGTTGGAGGTTATTCCTATGTTTATATATCGTATGGGTGCTCAAACACATAGAAAACTCGGTCATCTACAGTATGAACCCTGACATACCTTTTTCTCTGAAATATTTTGTTTGTGTTTTGCTCTGGTGTGCTGCTATTGTTTTTTGACTTGTATAGTAAGGATTATTTCTGCATAACACATTCCTATACATGGCCATGCATGAATGCTAACCTGTGTGACCTTTGGCTCCAGGTACCCAGACTCATGGTATCAGGACATCACCTCCAACAAGAAGTTTTTCTCCCTCGCTGCCACCTTCAGAGGAGACATCGTGGGAATGATAGTGGCTGAGATTAAAGGCCGGACTAAAGTACACAAAGAGGTTGGTTGTTTAGAGTGCTACACAGTCGCTCACACGAAGCAGAGGGCTGTTATTAGTTGTATTCAATTAAGCTGTACTCTGTAGAGACCGTGTCACTAAGTGTGTTTGCAAAGTTTATCCACTCTCACTCAGTTGTCATTTGGAAATGTCACAAGTGGAACACTGACATAGTGGAGTCTGTTTTTAGTCTGCTAATTAGATGAACCACATGCCCTTGACTGCTTTAGACTTTGTAATAAAAAGAGATAACAGGGCAATGAAAAAAGAAATTGGTGAAAGAAGGCTGCCACTTATAAATGTTTCTGGGGATTATAAACAGTGATTAACTTTAAAGAAAGGATTTTTGTTCATTTCTTTGTAAATGTCCTCTTGTTTAGATAAATTTGGGCTAGTGCTGTGCCTGTGAAGATGAAATACTGGAACTGAATTTATTCCCCTGGACTAGCATCTGAAAATTAGTCCTCTCACTTTGGAGTTTGTTGACTTGCAACACCTGGTGTCCAAACTGAATTTCCCTCTGGAACAGTATTTGAATTTTTGAATCCACCTTTCCAGTGAATAATTTGAATAGGCAAAGAAGAAGCAGTGTAATGGGCCAGTCCCACAGGAGAATACAGAGCATGTTCAGAGTGACACCAAATTACAAACCTGAAAGATCCTTAGGTGATGTGTTTTAATAAAATGCTGAATGTAATTTTTATTTCAGAATCTGATGCACATGATAACATAATCTACTTTATGTTCCTAAAGTATGGTAGGTCTTAATCAGATCTTTATAAAATTTTTATGTGTGTGTGTGTTAGGATGGAGACATCCTGGCCTCCAGTTTCCCTGTGGACACACAGATAGCCTACATCCTCAGCCTGGGAGTGGTCAAAGAGTTCAGGAAACATGGCATAGGTACTGCTCTGTGTTCTCTCTCTTTCTCACACACATACATATGCATATGTATATATATATACATATGCATATATATATATATACATACAGTGCCTTGCGAAAGTATTCGGCCCCCTTGAACTTTGCGACCTTTTGCCACATTTCAGGCTTCAAACATAAAGATATAAAACTGTAATTTGTTGTGAAGAATCAACAACAAGTGGGACACAACCATGAAGTGGAACGAAATTTATTGGATATGTCAAACTTTTTTAACAAATAAAAAACTGAAAAACTGGGCGTGCAAAATTATTCAGCCCCTTTACTTTCAGTGCAGCAAACTCTCTCCAGAAGTTCAGTGAGGATCTCTGAATGATCCAATGTTGACCTAAATGGCTAATGATGATAAATAGAATCCACCTGTGTGTAATCAAGTCTCCGTATAAATGCACCTGCACTGTGATAGTCTCAGAGGTCCGTTTAAAGTGCAGAGAGCATCATGAAGAACAAGGAACACACCAGGCAGGTCCGAGATACTGTTGTGGAGAAGTTTAAAGCCGGATTTGGATACAAAAAGATTTCCCAAGCTTTAAACATCCCAAGGAGCACTGTGCAAGTGATAATATTGAAATGGAAGGAGTATCAGACCACTGCAAATCTACCAAGACCTGGCCGTCCCTCTAAACTTTCAGCTCATACAAGGAGAAGACTGATCAGAGATGCAGCCAAGAGGCCCATGATCACTCTGGATGAACTGCAGAGATCTACAGCTGAGGTGGGAGACTCTGTCCATAGGACAACAATCAGTCGTATACTGCACAAATCTGGCCTTTATGGAAGAGTGGCAAGAAGAAAGCCATTTCTTAAAGATATCCATAAAAAGTGTCGTTTAAAGTTTGCCACAAGCCACCTGGGAGACACACCAAACATGTGGAAGAAGGTGCTCTGGTCAGATGAAACCAAAATCGAACTTTTTGGCAACAATGCAAAACGTTATGTTTGGCGTAAAAGCAACACAGCTCATCACCCTGAACACACCATCCCCACTGTCAAACATGGTGGTGGCAGCATCATGGTTTGGGGCTGCTTTTCTTCAGCAGGGACAGGGAAGATGGTTCAAATTGATGGGAAGATGGATGGAGCCAAATACAGGACCATTCTGGAAGGAAACCTGATGGAGTCTGCAAAAGACCTGAGACTGGGACGGAGATTTGTCTTCCAACAAGACAATGATCCAAAACATAAAGCAAAATCTACAATGGAATGGTTCACAACTAAACATATCCAGGTGTTAGAATGGCCAAGTCAAAGTCCAGACCTGAATCCAATCGAGAATCTGTGGAAAGAACTGACAACTGCTGTTCACAAACGCTCTCCATCCAACCTCACTGAGCTCGAGCTGTTTTGCAAGGAGGCATGGGCAAAAATTTCAGTCTCTCGATGTGCAAAACTGATAGAGACATACCCCAAGTGACTTACAGCTGTAATCGCAGCAAAAGGTGGCGCTACAACGTATTAACTTAAGGGGGTTGAATAATTTTGCACGCCCAATTTTTCAGTTTTTTATTTGTTAAAAAAGTTTGACATATCCAATAAATTTCGTTCCACTTCATGATTGTGTCCCACTTGTTGTTGATTCTTCACAAAAAATTACAGTTTTATATCTTTATGTTTGAAGCCTGAAATGTGGCAAAAGGTCGCAAAGTTCAAGGGGGCCGAATACTTTCGCAAGGCACTGTATATATAAATAAAGCTTGGCATAGAGGACATTAACTTGCATTCATTCCTAATCCTAATGAACTGTAACCACTACATGATAAACCCCATCCTTTACCCTAACCTAGAGGTTTACACACTGTGAGGCAAAGGTTGATTTTGTCTGAGTGGGACCGGGTGCCAGAATTTGAAAACAACTCCCACAACATTAATCAAAAACAAATCTAGGCCTTAATTTATAATGAGCTGATGTAAATTTGAATGTTTATAGTGCACTTGTCCATTGTGAGCAAAGATTAAGTTTACAAACACTCTTCATTCTGAATTCAGATGGGAGAGCATGGACCTTCAGTTAACATACAGCAGCATACCAGAGTTCAGTGCCTAAAAGAATGAAATAGGACCAGTTACATTACTGATGACTGCTTAAAGTAAACTTCATTAACACCAGCTTTCAGTAGTGTCCTGTAACAGAATAATTAAGACTGTGATATCATCAGGAAAATGTCATCTGGGTACTTGTGTAAAACCTCACACAACACTGTCCTTGTGTGTGAAACATCACTGGATCCATGTGTTATTAGACATTTGCATTCCTTCCTTCCTACATTTTTCACCAGCAGTTAAAGTCCTGCATTTGGTGTAGTTTGGTGCACAGTTGTAGACATATAGTAATATAGAAGCAGATATATTGCCATATGCTAAACTATACGCCTATTGTACCTTCTGGAGTGCTGCCAAACTGTCATGAATAATTGATAATGTAAAAAAGATATATGCAACATCTTCATCAGCTTATTACACACTTTCACTTGCACATGCTGTGAAAACTCGCCCCCTCCTGTTCTCTGTCTCTCTGATCTTGCTTCATTTGTTCTCTTAATGCACAGAGATGAGGTAACGTGTCCCTCTCTCCCTCTCTCTCTAACCATCCGACCGTTCAGGCTCTCTCCTGCTGGACAGTTTGAAGGAGCACATCTCAACGACAGCCCAGGACCACTGTAAGGCTATCTACCTGCATGTTCTCACCACCAACAACACTGCCATCCACTTCTATGAGAACAGGGACTTCAGGCAGCACCACTACCTACCCTACTACTACTCCATACGAGGTGTTCTCAAAGACGGATTCACATATGTGCTCTACATCAATGGGGGTCATCCGCCCTGGACAATATTATATCCTTTTGTGGAAGGAGCAACTTGGTCACTGTGGCATAGTGGACAGTTTGTATTTAGATTTTTACACCACAGTTGTACTTGCTTGATATATCAAATATAACTGTAGTCTTCTCATGTTTCCTTAACCTTTGCTCCCACTGACTATATCCAGCACATTGGTTCAACCCTGGCCAGCCTGAGCCCCTGCTCCATCCCACAGAGGTTGTATCGACAGGCCCAGTCCCTGCTGCGCTCTCTGCTGCCCTGGTCTAACATTGCCTCCAAGACTGGCATTCAGTACAGCAGAACAATGTGACAACGTGGTGGGTGGGAACTGTACTGAATCTTTGACTATGACTTTGATCTATGACTTTTATTTTATCTGGTTTTGTCTATGCCTTGATTTCTGATTATCTCTTTGTCTCTCTCCCCTCTTTCTCACTTTTAGAAGCGCCAACTCATCAGTCTTCCTCTGTACACATTAAGAGGCAATTCATGCTTTACGCATCCACATGTCCACTAAGGTTGAGTGAAATAATTTTCATCATCTTCCCAGGTCCCAGAGGGTCCATGTGGACTCTGAGCAGACGTCTGCGTGCAGGCCAGAAGTTAGTCTATGTGGTTGGTCTGCATAGCAACAGCCCCAACTGCATGTGCCACAGTGCTTGGAAACCGTTGGCATACATGGACAGAAGGCGAACCCTTGATTTGAAGGAACACGTATGCACCCCTGATCGGTGTACGCACGAGGGTATGCATAAAGCATGAATTCCCCTTAAGATGTATACACACCTTCACCTTCTCGGTTGCCTACGGGTATGACACTGTTCACACAAGATCCAGGTTTGCAGCTGTAGTTCTGTGCCCACTTCTAAACTGTGTTATTGCATTTCAGCGTCATTAAAATTGCAGTGTTACATTTACACTGGCAATCTATGTGAAACCACAGGATTTCTTTTAGTCATTCAGTTACTATTCTCTGACATCTATACTACACCATCCCATAGTTACTAAAGTAGCCTGTATTTACCCAGTCATACCGAAGTCGAGCAGTGTCAAAGTCACTTTTAACCCAGGCTGCAGAGCAGAATGGAGGACCTGGTTGTCCCAGCCATACAGACGGAAAACACATGTTATTGTTTTGTTGTGAAAGGGATGCAACACGCACACTGGGAACCATAGAGACTAAAGGTTTAAGCCCTGCCTGTCTTTCTGTCCCTTCTTCCTGTCTGCAACTGTCACAGAGACTATGTATACTGACTGTATATTATATATACTAAACTGATATATACATTTCTCTCAATATGTATGTCTATTTTATGCTGTTGATATAGGCCTAGTTGAAATATAACCTTTTGAGTATAGACTGAAACCAGAGTCAATTCCAGTTTGTAAAATACACATATACAAACATTACAGACACCTCACTGATTATGCAGTACTGTTTGAAAGTCTTATGTAAAAATATTATCCTAATTCTGAGAAAAATGGCCTTTCTACGTTGTTTCATCATGTCATCCATGTATAGTTCACACAAGAGTAAGGGAGAGTTTTTTGGGGTTCTTGTTAGAGGTTTGAAATGCTAACGGCCCTGTCTGCCTGCTCTATGGCTGTACAATTCCTGCTTGTGTGGAGAAATGTCTCATTGTTTCTCCAAATTTAAAAAAAAAAAATTAGCCCAGATTAGATTTTTATGTCTGTCTGTAGATGAGAGAAGGTAAAAATACAGTCTTATGCAAAAGTTTAGGCACCCCTTGATAAATAACAGATTTTGGTGATTTTTTATTTGAACAGATGTTAACACAGTTTCTCTTGGAAATGGAAAAAATGCACAATATTTTCTGCAAACAGTGATGCATAGTTACTTCTTATGCCATAAATTGAACAAAAATAAAAAATAAAAACATTATTATGGCATGGTGCAAAAGTTTGGGCACCCTAAGAGTTCCAGAGTCTCAAAGTCTCTCACAAGGTATCAGACCTTAATCAGCTCGTTAGATCTGATGCACAGCAACAGCTGTCATTGGTAAATGCCAATTTCAAAGCTGTACAAATACTTTGACTCTTCAAACCTTGTGCACACACTTGTGGACACCCAGCAACCATGGGTTCCTCTAAGCAGCTGTGTAAGACCCTGAAAATGAAAGTTATTGATGCCCACAATGCAGGAGAAGGCTACAAGAAGATAGCAAAGCGTTGTCAGCTTGCAGTTTCCACAGTAAGAAATGTAATTAAGAGATGGCAGATCAGGGGAACTGTGGAGGTCAAGATGAGATCTGGAAGACCAAGAAAACTCTCGGACAGAACTGCTCGTATGCTGGTCAGAAAGACAAATCAAAACCCCCATTTGACTGCAAAAAACCTGCAGGAAGATTTAGCAGACTCAGGAGTGGTGGTGCACCGTTCCATATTTCAAAACACAAAACATCATATGCCTTGTATGCTTTAGTGCATGCAGATATGTATCTCTGTCTATCTGAAATTGGCACCTTTGTAAGTGCCAAATCTTGGTCAAACTTGTCTGTGGAAGACAAATGAGTAAACTTCACCCAAACTGTTTACTGATAACTTTGTGAATAACATTGTAGTTTCTCGATTTCATGGCATTCTGTTGAACTTCATTATAAACTACCGATCTGATGTAGTGTTTCAGTCGGTGAACAGGTTTTATACAGGACATAGCACTGAAAAGGGGACGGGTAACCCTGTGTGAAAAATGTATGATCACTGTTGGAAGGTGAAAGTTTGACAGGCCTGGGACTCAAAAGTAAATTTCCGACATTGTGTATGCAATAAATGCATTTTATTGGAATGATTGTAAAGGCTCGGTCAGTCTGACTGCCCTTGGTGTATTGACTATTTTACATAGTTTGAACCTTTTCATTATGATTGTCATATTACATTGTCATAAAACTGAGCCTTGTTTTCATTCTCAGTATGTCATGATAGTGATATGACATACATTTATCTTATGTCATACATAAGACATACATTTGTCATAAAGGGGCACTCTGGGTTTCAAGTGTTGCACTTACATGAATTTGGTGGGACTTGAGAGAGGCTGAATTAATTAAAAAAAAAAAAAAA